GTTCAGTATAGTGCTTAGAAAAAATTGGCAGTGTGAGATAAGCAAGAAGTAAGGCATGTAGCAACATCAGCATGGCAAAGGGCACTCCTTTAAAGGCAAGGAAGGCAAAAATATTTTAAGTCAAGTGATAGCGATTGCTGTATGAGTCGTACAATTTTTGAATCAAGAACGGGCAACGCCGGGCCATGCTGCTAGTTTGTTAATATATATTTCTTAGCTCTGTCTAACTGCATCGAGCACTGTTATGTTTACACCTTAAAGTAAATTCAGTAAATATTTATTTGCTTCTCTGTACATCCACAAACTAACTCGCGCATATACAATTGCTAATATCAAGTTATTTGATTTTAAACAATATATATATATATATATATATATATATATATATATATATATATATATTTCGACTCTTTTCGTTATAATTGTTGAGCCGCGCCTACCAGGAACCAACAGCCAGACAACCTGCACATATGATTCAATTATGGTGGTGAATCTATGAAAATTCTCGGACATTCAAGCCGGTAAATGTTGTTTAATACTGTTTATTATTTACTTAAATATTTGTATCTATAAAAAGAAATGTTTTAAAAAAGAATTGTCGAACTTTGTCCATTTCATAATGTGTGACGTCATTTGTTTACATTTGGATACGCATCGAGCAGATATGAATGTACGTGAGAGAATCATGGAAGATTGTAGTTTAAAAGCAGTAAAATCGACCTTGCTAATCGAACGATCCTCTATGGCCCAATCATAAAAATGTCTTAAAAATAATATATATGTATATGTGTGTGTGTGTGTGTCATCGGAGCGAAGAGTTTATGATTTTGTTATTAATATCTATTTTTGTTTTTTCCGTCAGTGTTGGATACGTTAATTAAAATTTTTTTTTTTCCAATATTTTCATTTTCAACTTACAAGCAGTCTTCGGGTTTCTATTCCCCTACTTTCTATCTCCTGTTAAAATATGTCTGATATTTTTGGGATTTTCCAAGCGTAGGTTGCATGTAGCACAAGGTCGAAAGTATGGGACACCCAGTGAGGACCGAAGTCACTATTCAGCTGTAACCGTTTCAGCGAGACAAGCGTGCTAACAATTACACCACCCCGAGGTACCCAAAATGATTTTTACAAGACATATAAATAGATGTGGCAAAAGGCCGAAAGTGTGGGGCATCCAGTGAGGATCAAACTCACTATTCAGACGTAACCTTTTGAGCGAGACAAACTTTTTTTCTAACCATTACAATACGACGAGGTTCCTTGTCTGATATATATATATATATATATATATATATATATATATATATATATATATATATATATATATATATATATTGATAACATTCAGAGACAGTACTGTTTCGCTGTATCAAAGCTCCTCATTGTTGATTAAAAGACATCCGAATGCCTCAAGCCAGGATCGAAACCTAATTCATTTGGTGTGAGTCAGAGCTTCTACCACTAATATACCTTCATTTATTAGAGTGAAACAGCTAAATTTAGCGTATTGTTTTTACGAATGTAAACAAATGCCAATCAGCCGGAGTGCTCTATTCATCTTACTGAAGAGCTTTGCATTAACGCAGATGGCCTTTATTTATAGAATTAACTTATCACTCAACAGTGCTCAATTGATATATATATATATATATATATGTGTGTGTGTATGTGTGTGTGTGTGTGTGTGTGTGTGATGTGCGATTGATATTTGTTTTTGTAGCACAACCCTCGGCCAGGGTAGCTATCAGGATTCACTTTCTCTGTTATTTATACTGCAAATATACTAGCGTCTTAAACTGACATGAAGTGGAAAGAGTACATTTAATCAATTCCTCAGTCTGTAGCTAATAAAAATAATATCGTGTTAGTCAATAAATAGTGTAAATAATGATAACTCCTTATTCATTGACTATTTCTTTCTGTGAGAAAGCTGTCTACCATTTTACTTACAAGACTTTATGATACTATCAGTCTGGCTGATACTAACCTCCTAAAGAGTGATTCATTTCACCTTACCAATTACTCAGTCGGTAGCTATGTCTGGATAGAAATCTTTTCTCTCAAGAATCAATGTTACATAATTATAAGTCTACCATTCGACCTTGCAATGAATACTGTGGACACAAATAGTCTGTTGCATTGCTTTTTATTTAGATATACCTGATAAAAGCCAAGGAAGAATCTGCAATGTTATTGGTCCTGATCTATCATCTCAGCTTCAGTTATTATTTCTCATCAAGATAGTTGGCTCATTGTGTTGTGCAAGTTTTTCTCTCAAGAATCTATTTTGCATAATTATAAATACTATTCGTACTTGTGTTAAATATTGTCGACACATATGGTCTGGTGTTTCTACTATTTATATAGATAATCTTGATACAAGCCAAAGAAGAATCTGCAAATTTATTGGTCCTGACCTGTCATCTCGGCTTTACTCAGTTTTCTCACCAAGAAAGTTGGCTCAATATGTCGTTCAAGTTTTTTTCTCTCGGGAATCTATCTTACGTATTTATAAGTCTACCATTGGTCCTTGCTTTGAATATTGTTGACACATCTGATCTGGTGCTCTTGCTATATAATGAGAGATCCTTGATAATATCGAAAGTAGAATCAGTAACCCTAACGTGCACAATATTTTAATTTCTTCGATCGAGTTCTGACGAATGAAGAGCAATAACCGGTTAGCTTATTCTATGGCATATATGCCATTCTTAGTATTAGGTTGGTGCAAAAATAATGACGTAAGAATGTCGTTTTTTGACGTTAAAAAATATGTCAAAAAACGACATTATTACGTCATTATTTTTGCACCGACCTAATATTCACTTTCTCTTTTCATATTGCCAATATTGCAATTAATGTTTTCCCATTTAATTATGCCTAGTTTTATTACAGGCATAAAACAATTTTTATGTCATTTTTTTTTTTTTAAGAATTTTACTAAAATATATGTTTTTACGTTCCTGAAACGACGAAATCAGTGGAAACGTCACGCAAGAAGCGGTTATTAAAATTCCGCATGAAAACTCTCTTGTCAACATTGAGGCATCTAAATCCGGGTAAATTATGGCCTGTAAGAGAAACTTTTAACTAAGAGAGTTGTTGTTTTTAAGCTAAGCTATAAAATCATAATATTTGATAACTCGAGCAAATATGTTAATGGTAAAATTCGCCGTTTTCTTAGAAGGAAACATTAAGTATTCATTAACCGTGCAGCTGGCACTGTTGACAGTTGAACTTTATAAAATAAATCACTTAAAAGAATTCTTTCTGGAAAATATGTTTCTCAAGTCGAGTAGCTGTTATCGCTCTTTGCAGTATTGACGTGGGGACTTCGTTCCTAGTCTTTTCTTAGAAGTCGTCTGTAATGTCAACATCTTGATTACGACATTATCTTCTCTTCGAGTTATATGTGCTATTCATTTTAGTTGGTTCTGCTGTTGAAACTCCTCAACTGATGGGGCTTCTCTTATCTGGTAAATTTCTTTGATTATGATTCTGTTGTGCCAGTCCACAATGGTCAAATCTTTCTCAAAGTCCACGAACTCTTAGTTCTTTTCCTTCCTACTAACCTTTTCTTTCAAGTAGTCTGGAATGTCAACATCTTGATTATATCATTATCGTTTCTTCAAGTTACATGTGCTATTCATTTTAGTTGTTGCTGCTGCTGAAAGTCCTCAACTGATGCAGTTTCTTTTATTTAGTACACTTCTTTGTTATGATTCTTTTTTTAAAACTCCGCCCCCCCCCCAACCAAGGTGGGTGTACCACTAGTAAGCAAGGGGTTACAGAAAGTGGGAGCAATGTTAAGTTTAGCCGTTATGGTGATGATAAACTAATATTCAGCAATCAATGACGGAGAAGCCAGTGTTAATTTCCGTTGAAATTAATAAAAAGCTCTCCATGCAAAAATATTATATATGTTCTATGATTGCATGTAACAGCGGACGAAAGTCACTTTGTCATATAACAAGCAATGTGCCGACGAGAGAATACAGACCCCTAAAATCGAGAATATATATATTAAAATTGTAAGAATTAATTTAGTTATTAATGATTTAGTGATATGAGTTTTTATTTTTAATTAAAGATGCATCTTGTGTATGAATTCTGCTTGTAGTCTATGGTAGGCTACTCCATATTAGGCTTTGGGCACCTCGAGGCAGTGTTATGGTTAGCCAGCTTGTCTCACCAGAACAATTACGACTGAATAGAGAGATCCATCTTCACTGGGTGCCCGATACTTTCAGCTTTGTGCCACATGTAAGCTACGCTTGCTTGAAAAAAATTAACTTTGACCCTATTAGGCTTTTTGTTTTTAGGAACATCCGGTTTTGAAAGCACTGAATGATAGAAAATGATTTCTTTTGTTTTACTAATATCAACCCTATCCGGTTTATTTAAAGCCAGAAAATTTTTTTTATCGTTTTTATTTTAGAAATGCAACATGATTAATAATTGTTTTAAAATATATTTGTAAGAGAGCGAATCACACTTAAGAGGTGTGACGCCATGCGGGGTGTTACTGTATTCGACCCCGATCTTACACCCACTTTTATAGACGAAGATATTGCATTTAAGATGCCTGAAACTCATAAAGCAAAAAATGTTCTATTCTCAAAACGAGTAAATAAAACAGTAAAGCACTCAGCTCTTTGACTTGCCTCGATTTCAACACGAAAGCTGAACATATTTAAGTTTCAGACACAATTTTCTTCAATGTAGATACACTAGTCATCCATTAGAGTGCGAAGTAGTCAATGCTTCTTTGAGGGAAACACAAAATAAGCCCAAAAATATTTTTTAGATTGTAAGTTTTCTGAGATAATAAAGATTTAGTGATACAAGTAATACTAATTTACCAATGGACTGGAGAAAGAGGTTGATTCATAGCTGCCCGCAAGGATATTTGCGCTTAAGCCGACTGGAATTGAAGCTCTGCTCTCCGATAAATAATTCCTAGCCATTATCCATTCGACGACCTGCACATACAACTTTACAGTCCCTGGTATTCCCAAGCGGTCACCCATCAAGTTACTGACCAGGCTCGAAATATCTTAACTTCGGTGATCGTATGGAAACCAATGTTTCACCTTGATGTGACCGTAAGTAAACATATAGCCATTTACTAAGCGTAGCTTAGATATGGCACAAGGACAACGGTGTGGAGAAATACTCACTACTCGGTCGTCTGGCGAGACAAGCTTATTAACCGAAGGGTTCCCAATAAAAAGCGGAAAAATTATCACTGATTTATCTTTCAAGAATAATTGACCTTGAATAACCTTGAATAAATTTCTTGAATATTCATGACCTTGAAAAATCATTCGACTTTCGCGTAATTATTTAACTTTGATTGGTTCTTTTGTGACCACTCAAATATCAAATACAATATTTATAAACCAATCACACTGAAGAAAATATTTACACACCCATAAAATCATAGAATACAAATCAGAAAGTTTGTTGTATTTTAGTTATCCTGATTTAGGTCGATACCGCCAAAATATCGTGCGGACGTAGTAGAAGACATACCACGTGACCTTTTTACGGACAATTAGGAAGAAATAAATAATTCTGGAGCCGATTTTGATACGAAAAAGTGTATATAATCAGTGAACGACTAGCGTTTCTGTCGGCAGGCTGTTGGCTTCTTTCTTGTAGGGGCTGATTTTCTTTTTTTTTTTTTTGTCGTTATTTATTTTAGAAATGCAACATGATTAATAATTGTTTTAAAATATATCTGTAAGAGAGCGAATCACACTTAAGAGGTGTGACGCCATGAGGTGTGTTACAGTATTCGATCCCACCCTCGCACCCACTTCTATAGACAAAGATCTTGCATTTAAGATGCCTGAAACTCGCAATGCAAAAATGTTCTATTCACAAAACGAGTAAATAAAACAGTAAACCATTCAGCTCTTTGACTTGCCTCGATTTCAACACGAAAGCTGAACATGTTTAAGTTTCAAAGACACAATTTTCTTCATGCAGATACATTAGTCATCCGTTAGAGTGCGAAGTAGGGGTGGAGTGGGTGCTTCTTTGATGGAAACACAAAACAATCTTCTTTTCATACGTCAGCTGAACGTTGCCAGTCCCATAGGTTTTCGTCAACGCGAACTTTCGGAAAAAGCCAGGTAATTAATGAGCAGCTTGGTAACGGTTAGGTGTAAGATTAACCGTTTCCATGCAACAAACATTTGTCATTCTCTGAACGGAAAGCTAGCGTTATTGTAGCTTGAAATTTGTATAAAAAAATTACCTCTTCAAACAATTTTTTTTCAGGAAAATCGGCTCCTCGAATCTAATGTTATAGCTTTACTTTCATTGTTCGTTTCTTCATTGCCATATTCACAACGTTTCGGTCGCTGTACGCTCCGGCCTTCTCTAGGTGATTGGAATTTCGAGCCGAATCATTCATTTCAAACGCCGAAGTAGATTGTTCTAGTTCCGCATGCTACGCCTCTTCCGGGCGTCTCAGTTATTCACTTTAACACAACTCTCCAAGTTTTTGGTTAACCATTGCCTGGTATTGAACTCGACTCTTAGGTTTCTAGTAATTGGATCTAACCAACGTCTTTATCCATTAGGCCATCTGTGTATGAATTTTAGGGACTTCTCAGCAATTATTTTTTACCAGTGCTCATATTGCAATTTTTATTATTATTAATGCATATTTCTTTTTTATCAGAGCTTATATTCCAACTTTTTGTTGATTTTCAGCACTCCTTATTACTGGTTCCCATATTGTATTCATTTCTATGCTTGGTCGGCTCAGGAAATAAAGAGTTCTGTTCGAAATTCCAATCACCTGAAAAATTCCGGATTGTACAACGGCGGAAACGTTGTGAATATGGAAATGAAGATGCAGATAACAGTCCAAATAATGTAAATAATGCAAGTAATCATAATACCTCATCTCAGAGATATGGACAGATATTGAAGAAGTCCGAAGCGTACAAAAGCCGAAACGTTGTGAATATGGCAATGAAGTTGAGGATAACAGTCTGAATAATGTAAATAATGCAAGTAATCATAATACATCATCTCAGAGATATAGACAGATATTGAAGAAGGCTGAAGCGTGCAAAAGCCGAAACGCTGTGAATATGTCAATGAAGTTGAGGATAACAGTCCGAATAATGTAAATAATGCAATTAATCATAATACCTCATCTCAGAGATATAGACAGATATTGAAGAATTGGTATGGACCCGATATACCAAAAATATGGAGACAACTAGAAAAGTCTCAGTAGAAGCTACGTTGTGAATATGGCAATGAAGATGAGGATAACAGTCCGATTAATGTAAATAATACAAGTAATCATAATACCTCATCTCAGAGATATAGACAGATACTAATATGATTACTTTTATTGAAAATCGGTTTCTTGAGTCCACTGTTATATATTTTATTAATGCGGGTTTCCTTACTGGGATTTCTTTTTGTTGCTTAAGGTGAGGAAAGTCGACATGTTGATATTTGAAAAAACAAAATTTGATTTATATTCTCATTTCAGGCTGTACAATTCACAAAATCGTCTTTAATTCTTAAGGAAGCTCCAGAACACTAGAATTATTTTTCATGTTTTTTCAAAAGGAAGACGGCAGCGTGCGGACAGTTCGAAATCATTTTTGTAATTAATAACTTCATTCATGTTCTTGTATTCCATATTTATTCGCCTTCCTTCTGAAAAACATAAAAAAGAATAAGTATAAAATTCTGGATTGTCCGAAACAAATAAAGGCCCATTTTGAAAATCGCCCTGCATGTTATTGATTAAGTAATCCAATGTTAAATTTCAAATGTCAATGTGCTGAATTTGAACGCCCAATGTCATTTTTAAGTGTATTAAATGTTGTATATTAAGCACACACTCATATATATTTATATATATATATATATATATATATATATATATATATATATATATATATATATGTGTGTGTGTGTGTGTGTGTGTGTGTGTGTGTGTGTGTGTGTTTGTTATATTTTTCGGTGTTGTAAAAGGAATTCACTTCGACATCATCGTTGACATTCGAATATCAATATATTGATTTTCAATATCTCTAAGAAAAAGAACAAGGAGGAAACCTCTACTAATACTACTACCACACCAATACAAACGTTTATTTAAAAAAATCGCACACCGTGGAAAAAAAAATTGTGGCTCAATTAGTGAGCAAATAACGCAAAAGTGCTTTTTTCATGTTAATTAAAAGATATATAGAAATCACAAACACACATGCATATATAAACTCACACACAAATAAACACATATACACACACAAATATATATATATATATATATATATATATATATATATATATATATATATATATATATATATATTTGTACAGTAAAAACGACGAATTTATTCGTACACCCATCAATTTTGAATAATTTTTAGCCAATTCTCAGAATCTAATGTCTGTATATTGCCAGTTTTTTTAAATGTTAAGCACAAAAAAAAAAAGATATATAAAACTAAATTTTCAGAACAAGAGATTAAAGGCAACAGATTTGACAGGCGAATTATGCAAAATAGGAAAAGACAAAATTATTTTTGTACAATAGGAAAAATAGAAAAAAATTACAATTTTCATAATATTAATAGTCAGTAGCATGACCTCTCATCATTATAACTTGCTGCAATCGTTTTCTAAAGGTTTTGATGAAATTTCAACAAGTCTCTTCGTGAATTTTCTTCCAGTCATCAATGGTTATATTTTCTAATTACTGAAGGTGTTTTGGTGACCGATGATTTAATCGAACTTTCAATTCTTGCCATAGATTTTCAATAAGATTCAAGTTAGGACTCATTGAAGGTCATGACAGAACTGTAATCTTCTTTTTCTGAAGCACTGATGTAGACCTATTTTTTGTGATCATTACATTACTGGAAAGTAACTCGCCGATTTAGATGAAGATTTGGCGCTGATGGTTGCAGATGTTCATACAGAATTTTGATATAGTCTGTAGATTTTATTATTCCTCTTATTGCAATTAAGTGTCAAGTCCCCCTTGAGCTAAAACAACCCTAAAAAATCATTAAGTCGCCTCCATGTTTTAATGTTGCCACTGTGTTCTTTGAGACGAAAGTCTCGCCTTTCTTGCGGCAAATCTTTATTATGTCCAAGAAGTTCGATTTTTGTTTCATCGCTCCATAGTACTTGTTTCCAAAAGTAATTCTCTTTGTCTTGTAGCAGAATTAAAATGAGCAACAATGTGACATGGTTTGTGAAGATGGTTTCATCGTGGTCAATTTCTATATAACATATTTGTATTGAAACAACGTTGTATTATGCGAGTAATTACGCTGACACCTATCGTATCCAAACTTTTCACAATGTCTTTCAGAACACCTCTTGGATATATATTAATCTTGCAACACAGTATTCATGAAGTTGTCGGGAACAATGTGAGTTTTCTACCCCACCCAGGCAAATTCTCTATCGTGCCAAACTGTTTAAACTTCTTTATAACGTACTGTACCGTAGATCTAAGGATAGCTAACCGGTTTGAAATAGTTCCTTAACTATTTCCCGACCATTGGAAGTTAATAATTCTCTTTCTCAAGTCAACGCTAAGCTTTTTATTCCCATCGTGTAGTTAACGTAAGAATAACAACATTATATTCTTTGCTGGAATTATAACAAATATTCTACTGAATAAATAGTCTAAAAAAAAAACGATAAAATAATTATGTAAATTACTTATACTTCCACGAATCAATCAATTTAAAACTATATATTCTACTGTACGAATATTTTGTCTTTTCCTATTTCGCATAATTCGCCTGTCAAATTTGTTGCATGTAATCTATTGTTCTGAAAATAACATTGGGTATTCAAATTCAGTACACTGACATTTGAATGTTTACATTCGATTACTTAATCAATAACAGGCAGTGCGATTTTCAAAATGGGCGTTGAATTTAACTTATTGTTCTGAAAATTCAGTCTCATATTCTTTTTTGGTATTTATTAACATTTAAAATACCTGGCATCATACGAGCATTAGATTCTGAGAATTGGATAAAAGTATTCAAAATTGATGGGTGTACGAATAATTTTGTCGTTGAGTGTATATAAGTCTCATTATATAAATTAGACATGTCTTGTCTACTTATTTTCAATAGGATCCGATCATATTCACGGACAAGCTTCTTAGTATCCTTATTGAAAGAAGAGAGAAAATTATCATGTTGATACATATTCATTTATTGCGAGTACTTTCGACATTAGCACAATGTCATCATCAGGGTGTTGTTTTCATATATTTTTATTTTTTTGTTTTTTTTTTTCTAACAGAAAATTCTTGTGTTCACCTGAAAATTAAATATTTTTAACTGTGAAGTGAAAAACGCTATGATTATGTACCGTACATTTTAAATTTCACGATGAAAACGCCAGGGGAGGTAACTAAGTTTTAAATGTCCATAGGTTTGTTTTTTTTTTAAATAGTACTTGACCTTTGGTTGTTAAATATGAGTTTATTGTCATTAAATTAGTTTTACTTTAAAATAAAGCATAAGCATTTACTATTTCTCTAATACAATTCTTTATCTTTTAGTAAAAATAAAATAAGCTTTTGTTTTCATCCAATAGCTACTGTTGTCCTAAAAATTAAGAGTAAAAGTCGTCCATAGGTAAAAAATAAGTTGAGATAAACTGCGCAAAAACAGTTACGACTTAGTATCGATTTCCATACTCACTGGGTGCCCATACTTTCGGCCTTGTAAAACATCTAAGCTACGCTAAGGAAATCATCTTAAACTAGATAAGATTTAGTCCGTAATCTTCCTAAATCCATTGAAGGGAAATACGAGTGAAACAACCAGGATATGGGTTTCAATTTAGTCAATATTAAATGTACAGATAACATGGGCTGGATTAAGGTGACTGATCACATATATACGTGAACGGTTTCTAAATCTAGGGATGTATCAAGAAGACCCAGGCCGATATTGACGCAATCTTGAACCTCTTTCGACTGTAAAGGGGCCATTGCACATTCGCATGTATTCGTTTGTACAGATGAGGAACCATCCAATCATAGCCAATATTAATGTTGCGAATTGTGTAGATAGATAGATAGATAGATAGATAGATAGATAGATAGATAGATAAAAAAATGGACTAAGAAAATGGAAAGAAAGAAAGAAAGAAACCGGGATAGGAAGAGAGAGTAATAATGTAAAAATACACAAAATCAGAGTGTTAGAAGAATCAAATATCTATCTATCTATCTATCTATATATATATATATATATATATATATATATATATATATATAGAGATCTCAGAGAGAGAGATAGAGAGAGAGAGAGAAAGAAAGATAAAGAAAGAGAGTGATGAAAATTATATTCCGATGCATACGTCACCATCTAGTGTAATAGGATTTATAGATAGATAATGAACTGTCTACGATCTATCGATCAATTGATCGATAGATAGATAGATAGATAGATAGATAATGAAGAGACTTAGATAGATAGATAGATAGATAGATAGATAGATAGATAGATAGATAGATAAAAATAAAATCAGATAGATAAGAATAAAATTTGATAGAAAGAAAAGAAAGGAAACGAAAAGAAAGAAAATGCAGAATTAAAGAAAGTAAACGAAAGAAAGAATGAAAATTGGTTTTGTCTTTTGGTGCACAAGCCTATTGTAATCTTGCTTCGTTACAGTATTTACAATATTTTTATCGCTTATTTTTAAACCGGCGAAATGCAATTCTCTCTTAAACGAAGCGGCAAGTCGTCTGTTTTTGTTTTGTCGAACTCTGAGCTTTCATCAGTGTCTAGCTTGAACTGAGCAAGACGGACAGTAGAACATTTGGAACAACGTTCTGGATACATATATCACTTTCCTCTTACCCTCCACAAACATCAAATAGGAGCGAGAGTTCTATTTTATGCACCTCTACATTCCTTATTCTATTTGTTGTGCCTATGGATCAACGATGAATAAATATTGGAAAGTATTACTCCCCAGATTTTCATCTCGCAATCATCACTTTAATGTAGGCAAAACATACACTTTTGCTTAAAAAAAAACATTCACTCACTATAATGCTCAAGAGCCGTTCAAGATAGAAGAATGCTGAATGCAATGTGTGAGAGGAGGGAGTATGCTTCCAGATAATTTCATACTAACGCTGGGGTACTCCAGGCATCTATCTAAGTTGCTTCTTGTCTTTATCAATGATCTCCCTGACGTCATTCTCAACTAGGCATTTATGCAGTTGGTACTACCATTTACTCTTTGTCTTAGTAGTAGACACAACAGATCCGACAACATAAACCTGGCAACTGAAAAGAACCTCCAATCAGTTGTTAACTGGCGCAAGAAATGACTTTCATTTGATCACCACAGAGAACCTTTTCAGGATGGCTGGTGCTGAACTCTAGGAGAACAACACTATTTACCTTTTCGGTTTCCCGTTTTCCACTGTGATGAAACGGAGTGACTATATCGAGTCAATCACAACGTCTGCTGCAAGGAATTTTGGTTCACTGTGGTTCCAAAAACTTTTCCTCGTCAGAATCCATCTTGCAGATTTTTAAATCTACCATTTGTCAGTTTATTGATTTATTATAACTGGTCTGGTGTTCCTACTGTGCGTCTCGAGATTCTTGACAAAATCCAGAGAAGCGTCTGCAATACAATAGATCCTGTCCTGGCATCTCGTCTTCGGTCACTTTCTCGCCAACGTGATATGGCTCCTCTTTTCATGGTAACTGCTAGAACAAGTGTTTTTTTTTTCTTCGTGAGCCACGGGTATATGAATTTAAGTCTGATGCTAGATTGTCAATTAGGTCTCACTAAACTAGCTAGCTAGATCATTTCTATTCTAATAGCTTCTTTTCTCGCACTTCTCACATTTATCTAGCATTTCCCACGTTTTTTCTCGCATTTTCCACCATTTTTTCTCGCAATTCTCACCCTTTTTTCTCGCAATTCTCACCTTTTTCTTGCACTTCTCACATTTCGTCTCGCACTTCTCGCGTATTTTCTCAAAATTCCCAAAAATTTCATGTTTATTATCCATTTTTTAACAGACTTATAACATTTTTTTTCACAAAAAATCCTTTTTTCTTGCATTTCTCACCATTTTCTGGCACTTCCCACTTTTTTCTCGCACATCTCACTTTTTTTCTTGAACCTCACACCTTTTTGACACACTGCCATCCATTTTTCTTGCTGTTCTAACCTTTTTTTCTCGTCCGCATTTTCTCACATTAATATCCTTTCTGATAGCACGTCCCACCTTTTCTAGCACTTCCCACCTTTTTTCTAGCACTTCCCATGTATTTTCTCACACTACTATACTTTGTGCTAGAACTCCCAGGTTTTTTCTAGCACTTCCCACCTTTTTTCTACCACTTCCCACCTTTTTCTCGGACTACCTACCTTTTTTCTAGCACTTCCATCCATTTTTCTGGCTCTTCTAACCTTTTTCTCGCACTTCGCTCCTATTTTCTCACACTACTATCCGTTCTACTAGCACTTCCCACCTTTTCTCTAAAGCCAACTTTTTTTAAAAGACTTCCCACCTTTTTTCTTGCAGTTGCCACTTTTTTCTAGTACTTCCTACCTTTCTTTCTTGCACACGCCGTCAATTTTCTCTGCTAGAAACTATAAGTTTAATTTTACTTTCTCTGAAACTTTGTCGTTATTCACATAATCTTTGTCGTTATTCACATAATCGAATTAATCAAGACTGATTTTTCAATTTTTCTTAATTTTCAATCAACTTAAAATCAATCTGGGGTTTCAAAAACTAGAATCACTTAGATTATTCTTGTTAAAATTCATTATTGCCAAAGTTCAATCTTTGTTAAATTTAATTACGGCATGTGAGGTGTAATTTACACAGAGGATCTTCCTCCGACGGAGACTGTGTACTGCAATGGATGCGACTGCATTTGAAGACGGTCGTAGGAGAGGAAATATTAATGGGAATAAGTACATTCACACGAGAAAAGCAAACTGCACCCAGTTCAAAACTGGCAGCGTTCTTCGATATGTTGCCACATTTATTTTCCCTCATTACATTTGCAGAATCCATTATGCAACCTAATCTACATCTGTCGTCATGGAAACAAATCGTGCTGCAACGTCGGACAAGTTGGAAGCCTGAAAAGTGTTTTACATTCGAATTGAAAATGAAACCAGCTTTATTGAATGTTTCAACAGGCGAAATTGAAGGAATGAAAATATCATTTTGACCCGATAGGATAGAAGCTTTTCCAAGAATCGCCTGTTTGATAGGTATCGATGTTATTTATCATAGATCGGTGGATATGTTTCAACCGGCTAAGAGGAACAGACACAGACAGATAGATATAAACAGAAGGAGATAAAAACCAAGATAAAAATCGATATATATATATATATATGTGTGTGTGTGTGTGTGTGTGTGTGTGTGTGTGTGTGTTAATGCAAATGTTTAAAAAATAATCAAGAACACGTTAGGTAAATAATCCGAACTTTTTAAAATTTTCGTCTTTATTTAAAAAAAAAAAACAAACAAAAAAAAAAAAACAGTGCTCCATACAAAAGTAGAGCTTAAATTATATTTTTTTAATATTTTTTATAATTATAATTATATTTTTTTTTTTATTTTTTTTTATTTGAAAATCAACATATATATATATATATATATATATATATATATATAATATATATATATATATATATATATATATATATATATGTATATATACATATATATATATATATATATATATATATATATATATATATATATATTGAACAATAAGAAAATAAAAATTAAAAAATTAAAATCATTAGACACACTGGGTTTCCAGGATTAATATTCTTTCGTTTTTTTTATTATTATTATTCCATTTAGATTCCTCGACTAGTTTCGACCGAAATGGCCATCATCGGGAAGAAATATTTCTGCTTGCTGTTGGCAGTGAAAAACAGAAATGAATGTCTTTTGTTGGAGAAAATGAACTTTTGTCTGTAGTTTTCATTTGTTTTTTATTTTTTATCTTTTCACATGAATCTTTTAACATTCCTTGTGTTGGTCAAACAGTCTCTTTTAAGTTGTTATTTGAGATAAGAACTGGATAGATACATTTTATCCTGAATTCTCTGGTCAGTTTGACAGTTTTATTGGACCTGGTGAGGGGATGTGTCTCTGTTTAGTGTTTGTTCATGTTGTTATTTGGTTCTTAGGGAGTGAGTGAGTGAGTATGATATGTTATAAGCGTGTGTATTGCTGTAGGTGTGTGTTATCATTTGGCTCATTAGGGAGTGAGTGAGTATGGTGTGTGTATTTGTGTATAATCATTCGTGTGTGAGTGTATAAATGTGAGGCCTCCATTCCTCCGTCTTGTGTGGGTGAGAAATGTGGGTAGGTTTTGATTTTGTCTATATTTCTGAGATGAGGTATTATGTACAGTATTTACATTAGTCGGACTATTGTCCTCATCTTTGTCGCCATATTTGTCACAACGTTTCGGCCGTTGTACGCTCCGGCCTTCTTCAGGTGGTTGGAATTTCGAACTGAACCCTTTATTTCGATCACTGGGGTAGACTGTTCTAATTCCACGTGCCATGTTTTGATGGATGTCAGTTATCAGTTATCTCCTGCTAATTTTCCCTCTGAAAGTTCTCCACTGCCTTAACCAGGAATTGAACTCACCTTCTTTGGGTCTGTCACTGGATCTAACCAACGCCTTTATCCACTGTGCCATGTGTCCTTGAGGACATCTGGGTATGAACTTCTGAGTATTATAAACCTAATGTTTTCAGCATCATTTTTACCAGTGCTCATATTGCAATTTTTTTGCTGTTATCATTGCATGTCTTTACCAGAGTTCATATTGCAACTTTGTTATCATTGCTTTTCTCTGGCACTCCTTATTACTGGTTCCCCATATTGTATTTATTTCTATGCTTGGTCGGCTCAGGAGATTTTTGTGGCCTAGCATATGTGCTGATTCCTTAAGTTTACGAATTTTTCAATGGTGTTCCCTGTCTATGATCTCAACATGATCCCACAGGGGCGGTGATCTCCCTTCTCTCTCCATATGTGGTCAGCCACGCCTGATTTTTCTACTTCCCCTCGTGTTACAGCTTTCTGGTGTTCTTGAAGCCTTACCTTGAGGGGGCGGCCTGTCTCTCCTTTATATTCCTTTCCGCAGCTGCATGGAATAGCGTATACACAGTCTTTAGTCATGTTCCTCTCTATGGGGGGTCTCACTCGTGAGAGATACCTGCGAAGAGTTGTCACGCTTTTGAAGGTTGTCCTGATGTTATATGGACCGCAGATCTTTTGTATTTTCTCTGATAACCCCTTCACATAAGGCAGGCAGACTGTTTTCTGAGTGTTGTTGTCCTCCTCCTCCTCCTCTTGTACCCGCCTATCCCAGTTTTTGGGGGCTGCTGCCATGTACCCAGGGTAGTTGTTGCGTTGTAGGGTACTACTTATACTGACCAATTCCTTATCTAACGTCTCTGGATCGCCACTTATGACTTTTTTTTTTCGATGTTGTAAGCATCGGACGATCCCTTTCTTTACGCTGTATGGATGGTGGGAGTTGAAATTGAGGTACTGTCCGGTGAATGTTGGTTTACGGTATACGGATGTCTTGAACCCATTCTCTGTTCGAGATATTAGTACATCCAGGAATGGGAGTGAGTTGTTACTCTCTTTCTCCATTGTGAACTGTATCGAAGGTCTTATTGAGTTCACATGGTCCAGAAGAACCTGGACTTCTTCCTGATGTGGCCAGAGTATGAAAGTGTCATCTACGTACCGTAACCATATAGTTGGCTTTAGCGATATAGACTCTAATGCCATTTCTTCAAAGTATTCCATGTATATATTCGCCATTGCTGGTGATAATGGCGAGCCCATTGCTAAGCCCTCATCCTGTCGATATATGTGAGATCCCATTCCGAAGTGTGTTGTTTGTGTACAGAAAGTCAACATCTCCATCAGATTATCTATTGGAATACTGGTCCGTTCCTCTAGGGAAGAGTCAGAGGTTAATCTATCTCTGACTACTGAGAGTGCCTCCTCCGTGGGTACCTTGGTGAACAGACTCACAAATTCCAAGCTCACCATCTGGTTGGATAGAATGGGAGCATCTTTGATTATTTCCACGAAGTGGGCGGAGTTTCGGACATATGAAGGAGACTTTCCGATCAATGGGTCAATTATATCTACAAGGAAGCGACTCAGAGGGTGGCACACAGAGCCTTGGCAACTAACAATCGGCCTGAGTGGAATACCGTCTTTGTGAATCTTAGGGAGACCGTATATGTGAGGTAACTTGCTGTAACGCTGCGATAACTGCCTATACGTCTTGGGTGCAAGTGATCCTTGTTCTTGATTAGGATCTGTGACAGTTTGCGTTCCGTTTTCATAGTAGGATCTTTCTTCACTATGCTGTAGCTACCATTGCTAATGAGGTCTTCCAGTTTTCTTGTATAAATGTTTGTCCATCACTACAGTCGCATTACCTTTGTCAAATCTGTAGTATGATGATGTGAGGTTTTGATTTTTTGATTGTTACTATTATATATTGTTAAATTTATGATTTTAGCCCCCGTAGGAATAATATATATATATATATATATATATAATTTCCTACGCATATTTAAAAAAAATGCGAAGGAATCATATACATATATATATATATATATATATATATATATACGCAGCGATACATAGGGGGTGCGATGGATAATTTCTCGTCTAAATTACGCAGAAATTGAAATAACACTGACATCTCATTTTAATAAATATATTTACCAAAATAACACAAAAATATCTTGAAATATTAATGTTTAAATTCACTCAATAAAATCGGCTTTGGCCTCAACCACGGTGTCCAGATAAATTCGGAATCACCTGCAACTCCTCTAGACGGTCTTCTTGCTTAATTTGCTGAATGCTGCAATAATTGTTGCCTTCGGTTCATCTTTCGTGTTGCAAAGAGTTTTGTTTATCTCTAGCTCAACTGCATTCCACACATAATAATCAAGTCAGGTTGCAGTCTGGGGAGTTAGTGGCCTGTTGTAAAGTGTGATTATTATGGGACCTACCTTTATGGACTAAATGGACTCGTCTTATTACTATATTGAGCCTCTCAAGAGAGTTGTCTACTGTTGACGATTTGACTACGGCTGTCTTCTGTCGAACTTTCTGCTTTGGCAGAGAGGAACCCGGACGAAGCTTTGCCGAAGAGCAGGGTTTCGTCCGGGGAGATAGACAGGCCCTGAACCCGTCTAGGCAGCTTCAAAGGGTATATTTTTTGGCCGAGCCTACGGGCTCGGAGAAACCCACATTAAACTCGGCCTTGTGCCACATTCAATCCCCGTGGAGGGATCGTTAAATATTGTTGGCGATTTGACTACTGTACTTTGATGTCAGTCGGACGTGCAACACATTTGTATTCGATCTTTTTGTTTAATAATATGTTTTCACTAAATTGCTGAGTTCGAGTATTCTTTCGGACCTATTCTGGGTCCACAACAATGATGTGGTTCCAGAAATTGTTTACAGCTATGACTAATTTTGCCTGCTTGTGTGGTACGGTGCAGAGTCGTGTTTCCAGACATAGTATCTTCCAACAGCAAACCTCTTGGTCCAGGGTAGCACTACCTTCTCAAGGCACTTGTTGTACACCTCCGTGTTGTGTCTGAGGCCTCGTGGGATGATGGATAGTGGCCTAACGTTGCCATCACTAGTGATCACCGCCCCAAACACTATCGTGATCACCATTAGACCCATCCAACTCTTTCCGAATCCTCTGCACTATGCTCAGATCGGCACACAGACACACTGAAATATTCGTATTTGAGATTCCGGTGCGAATGCCAAGTGAGTACAACTTACCGTTTCCAAATTGCTGGTGAAGTGAATTTTGACATAATGCTCTTTTTCTCACAGACGTCGCCCAACTGTACTTACTACACTGTGTCGTCGACAAATTCAAAAATAAAAACGGGCATCCGCGAAATTAAAAATATAAAATGCCGACAAATTACCCATAGCATTCGGTAGATAGATAGATAGATAGATAGATAGATAGATAGATAGATAGATAGATAGATAGAAACTGACTGAGAAAGAGAGACAAATATTAATTGACAGAGGAAGATGGATTAATAGATATACAAAGACTGTTATAGATAGATAGATAGATAGATAGATAGATAGATAGATAGATATGAACTGACTGAGATAGAGGGACAAATATGAACTGACAGAGGAAGATGGATTAATAGATATACAAAGACTGTTATAGATAGATAGATAGATAGATAGATAGATAGATGGGAACTGACTGAGAAAGAGAGACAAATATGAATTGACTGAGGAAGATGCATTAATAGATATACAAAGAATGTGATAGATAGATAGATAGATAGATAGATAGATAGATAGATAGATAGATAGATATGAACTGACTGAGAAAGAGAGACAAATATGAACTGATAGAGGAAGATTGATTAATAGATATACAAAGACTGTTATAGATAGATAGATAGATAGATAGATAGATAGATAGATAGATACAAACAGAGTGGAATAGATAGTCAGGTAGGTATGAACAGAATGAAATAAAAAGCAAGTGAATGAGAGCGAGAGTTAGCTATTGATGCCTAGATAGACAGTGTGAGATACATAGATACAGATAATGAAAAGTGACGATTTTCCCTCTTTATTTCGAATGCAATAAGAAAGTTTCACACAAAGAGCAATTTCCCAAGAACTGACATTTTGTGGAAGAGGTTCCCTAGAGGTTGCCTCCTTTGACAATTCAGTCTTGATCTCTTCTAATCAAGGGTCAAGGGTCAGTTGTTATCTCTCCTCATCTACATAATCTCTTCTTTCTAATAACTCGTCTTCCATTCATATCGCATAGCATATTCAAATATGAATTTGTGCTATTTTATAACATCGACAACAGTCACATTTGCGAAACGTTATTTGCATACTACAAGAATAATCTACGTTATTTGCATACGAGAATAACCCACGTTATTTTTATACGAGAATAATCCTCGTTATTTTAATACGAGAATAATCCACGTTATTTGCGTACGTGAATAATCCACTTTTTTTTTATACGAGAATAATACACGTTATTTTTATACGATAATAATCCACGTTGTTTGCATAAGAGAATAATCCACATTATTTTAATACGAGAATAATCCACGTTATTTAATACGAGAATAAACCACGTTGTTTGCATACGAGAATACTCCACGTTATTTGCATACGAGAATAATCCATGTTATTTGCATACGAGAATAATTTACGTTATTTTTTACGAGAATAATCCACGTTTTTTGTATACGAGAATAATCCACGTTATTTTAATACGAGAATGATCCACGTTATTTGCATACGAGAACCCTCCACGTTATTTAATACGAGAATAATCCACGTTGTTGCATACGAGAATAATTCACGTTATTTTTCTTACGAGAATAATGCACTTTATTTTTATACAAGAATAATCTATGTCGTTTGCATACGCGAATAATCCACATTATTTGCGTACGAGAATAATCCACGTTATTTTCATACAAGAATAATCCAGATTATCTTAATACGAGAATAATCAAAAATTAAAATATATAATGCCTGCGTTATGTCATTTCTGCTCTATTCATGTGAGACATGGTTAGTCTATTGCAGACATCTGAAGATACTGGAATGTTTTCGTCAACTCTGCTTTCGGTCTGTACTTGAAATCCAACGGGTGTCTCACACCTCTGATACTGTTGTTCTACAAAGGGCCAATTCACTCTCTGTGGAAGCAATTATGCACAAGCACAGATTGCGATGGACGGGCCATGTTGTCCGTATGGTGGATGACAAAATTCCAAAACAATAAATGTATGGGGAATTGAAGATGAGAAAAAGACGGCAGCACAAGCCGAAACTTTGTTACAAAGATTGCCTTAAAGATAACTATACAATTGCAATATTGGTCTGGATAACTGGGAGACTCTAGGTGAAGACTGGGTGGGGGTTCTTGGAGATCTGGTATAGCTGATGGCGACAAGATCTTCTATGAGGCATCAAAAAATATGCAGTAATGAAAAGAGAGGTACAGAAGGGATCTCTGAATTGCAATGAGGGCACAACCTGGCCATGTGCCCAATTCAGTCAGATATATCTGTCCAGGGAGGGTTTACTCAGTTAGCAGCTGTCACACCGACAGCAACAGTCTATTGTATATGATAATTTCGTAATGGCATGCTTTGAATGCCTGACCTGCACTAGGGTGTGCAAGTCCAGACCAGGCTTGACAAGGCATATAAAAAGAAACATTGGAAGTGATGATGTTCAACGTCAACTTCCACCACCCGGACATGATTTGATATGCTACATATGTGACAAGATATGCGGATCAATGGCTGGCTTGATGAGCCACTGTGATTCACACAACCGATGAATGCAGTTAATAATGTAAGCCAGTCTGTATCGCATACATCTGCAGACATATAGACGCATTTTCCATTTAATATATACAAACGAAATTCATTCAGTTATACTGTAAAAAAAATAGACAAGACCATTATTATATCACAAAGAATCTTTGTAATTCTTTTTTTTTATTTTCAATTTCAAATATATAAGAATTATTTAACTTTATAGATCCGTGTTTGAAGATTAACTTAATTCTTCGTTTATACATGCATATTCCGCTATATATATATAGCGGAATATGCATGTATAAACGAAGAATTAAGTTAATCTTCAAACATATATATTTCATAAAATGTATCTTCAAACATATATATTTCATAAAATGTATTAAAAATTTTACATTATTTTCACTGTGGGCATGAATTGTAGCTATTGCAAGGAAAGTCTATTTGCTACTGTCGTCGCATGTTAGCGGAACGTCGTCACTTTCGTTAAACATAATTTTTGTAATATTGTATACACGAATAAATAAGCGATAGGTATGAGTGATCAGTTGTGAGAATTTGTTTCGTTTGTGTAACAAATGATCGAACAAACACCCTGGTCAAAAGTTAACTGAAAGAATAACTAGCGAACAAAGATTGATCATATTTATATTAAAATAAAAGGCTCCGGATGAATACGAATTTTACATTATTGGCTAAAATATATATATTTCCCCATTTTTAAATATTTCTTTTAAGGAATAAAAACATTGTTGAAAATATTCTGAAGTTGAGCTACCAAAATTTCATTTTTAAGAGATATTTTATCGTCTTCCAATTCAAAGAATACTGCGCGCCTAAGTATGGCTTTGCTGGTTAGTTAATATATATGAATACAAAAATTCAAATATATGGACGCTGTCAATGTACAATAAATGAGATAAAAGAGAGAGCCATTTATTAACATTTTTTCCACAATTCAAAAACGGGGTCCCACAAATATACATATACACACACAAATACATACAAAACACAAACACACACACACACACATATATATATATATATATATATATATATATATATATATATATATATGTAAGTCTACATTTAAGTCAAGACTCAGAGGCAACAGGCTGTTTCATGCTGGACGCAATCGATTCGCGGCCTGACGAATGAGTCTAACATGAAACAGTCTGTCGCCACTGAGATGTTGACTACATCAATGTTCACTTTTATATTTATATTTACATACACCCTATCTCTCATATTGAGCACTTTATCCCATAAATTTTAGCACATCTTATATCTATATTTCTTCATACACACACACACACACACACACACACACATATATATATATATATATATATATATATATATTTATATTATTTTTATATTAAAAAATCCTGATTATTTAGCTAACGTGTTTTTCCTGTTTTTCTACATACCTGAACACACACACACATATATATATGTGTGTGACACACATATGTGTGTGTGTGTGTGTGTGTGTGTGTGTGTGTAATAAATAAAATTCAGACTGTGAGGAAAAATATATATATATTTAATATATATATATATATATAGATAGATAGATAGATAGATATATATATAGAGATAGATGTATATTGAATTGTTCAACACCCAGCGGCGACAGTCTGTTTCATGATTAAACGCAATCTTCAGGCCATATTTATATACGCTGGTCAATGTTGCATTAAAAGTAGAAAAGCTATTGTATTATCGTAACGATTATTGGGTGGGCGGTAAAATCGAACAAATGTCTACTTCGATATTAACATACCATTATACTCTGATATTAAACACTTTAACCTATAAATATGGCGTATCTTTATATTTTTCTCACACAGACACAGAAATATATATATATATATATATATATATATATATATATATATATATATATATATATATATATTTCAATTAAAAGGTGCAAATATAATTTATAAATTCATGAATCATTCATCCAAAAAACAAATATAGAGTTTAATGATTTAAATGGCGAGAACACATCATCGCAAACAATATAAATAAGATACATCAACCCCGAACCTGTATATGAATGATATGATCCCTGTTTATAAATTCCAGTTGCATAAGGTCTTTTTTAATTTTTTACAAGCTTTCGCCATTTAAATCATTAACCTCTATATTTGTTTTTTGTATGAATCATTCATGAATATATATATATATATATATATATATGTGTGTGTGTGTGTGTGTGTGTGTGTGTGTTAATTATTTTCAGATAAAGTTTATCTGTAAAGGGAAAATGAATAAGAAATCAAGTGGTAAAACTCTTCTTAGTCGATGCATTTCGTCCTCTGAAGGAATTTATTATAAAACAACCCCCCCCAAAAAAACAAATAATCATGCAGTGAAAGAAATTCGACCAGAGTCTTGCTCTAGAACATGTCACACTCATCAATAGAGAAGGTAATTTACCCAGAAGAAACATACTTATAATTGGTGCTATTGAATCTTACCAAAATATAAATCCACGCCTCGACTGATGGAATTACTCCTTTCGCAAGCCAACATACACGGGTACAGAAAAATCAAAACAAAAACGATTCTGACCAGGAGATCCGTGTTCGAATCTCACCATGGTCGATTTGTCAGAAAGGGAAACTTCCTGATATTATCGGACGAGAGGATTCAAACCCAGCGTGTGGCAACTTTGAAAGGTGCCTGAAAATCCATACCACGGATTGAGCCAAGCCTTCTGAGTTAAACTGTGTAGCTGAAACCCGAGTTCAAATTCCAGTTAGGTTCATTATATCCCTTAAGTTTAAATACCCTTAGGAAAAATATGAATACACTTCTTCTTACCTCCCAATAAATCAATATTATCTCAAAAAATGTCTTATAACCTAAAAAAATTTTCTAATTTAAATAACCTGCGAAGAGTTGATAACCTGTGAAAAACATTTTTTTTTTTTTTGTTTCATAGCATCTCAACCTTAACGGGTTATTTAATGTCAACATTTATATATATATATATATATATATATATATATATATATATATATATATATTATATTTGACTAAAATGTATATATATATTTATATATATATATATATGACTAAAAATGTATTCTTTGGAACAAAACCCCTTTGTATATCAAGTTTTATTAACACATTTGTAATATTTTTCCTTTAATATTTTTTTTTAAAATGTATTGCTGGCAATAAATTTTTTTTTTTTTTTTTTTCAAAAGTTGGTTGCTGGTAATAATGCATTGTTGGTATTTTTTCTTCAAATCTTTATTTCTGATAATAAAACCTAGTTTTACACTTTTATACTGTTTTGACCCCAGTGTGGAGGTCAACTATTTATCCACAGCTAGGACCCTAACAGCTGCTACCACCACGGGTCGAGGTGGACCTGTAAACACAAGCAATTAAGAAGTAGTTCTGTGTTCCTCAAATCCTCCTGATAAGAGGCCTTGCTGTTGGACGTAGTTTATCGTCTAACCCAGGATGCGGGTGTAGCTTATCATCATACCCAGGACCGTCAAAAACGAAGCAGTCAAACAAAAGCATATTTACAATGTTGTAATACTTTGCAAGATCGATAAAAATACTTTTAATGCTTTGATAATGATATGTCCCGGAAAGGGATATGATTGTTCGAAGTAGCAAAGTGGTTTTGGACTATTGTAACCGAGTTGGACAATCTAGCAGGTAACCGTAATGGACTGGTCCTCGTCGTAGTGGTAGGCAATAGGCGTAGGCAATAGGTGAAGACTATAGGCGTAGTCAACAGGCGAAGACAATAGGTGAAGACTATAGGCGTAGTCAATAGGCGTCGTCTCTGTATCTCCACATCAGTCTGTATTTATGGCTGACACCAGCCAATCATCTTAAACAGATATTTAAAAAAGTCCTACTTGCTTAATCTTGGTATCTCCAATTCATTTGTTCACATCCTGACATATTTCAGGTGACTGACAACCACACATCCCGTTTTCTTAAACTTGTTACTGAGTCATTCGCCTGTCTTTCCTTTTCTACCGTATTTAAGAGTGTCTGTAGTTTCGTTTTTGTTGCGTGTTGTCTGAATATCTTTTATTGTTACTCTTGTGTCCACCCATAATAAATACTGGTAGATTTACAAGTTCGCACGGGATCGCCACGATGTAAACCTTAACTAAATCTGGTCAGAAGACACACTATTCTATTAAGCACCTTGCTAATTTTTGGACATTTACTGAATTTCTTTTCTGTCGGTATGCAGGAGGTTTCAAATTGGATCCTGTTCATCTCATCCAGCGTCAATGAATTCCAAAATCAAGAAATAAAAATCAGTGCCTCAAAAATGCAAGGACACTTTGCATGACACTATCATCATCATCCTTCGTCCTCAGTCAGTTTTCATAAGACACTTCCAGAAGGATGCTATAGAAGTTAGGATGAGATGATTTCCCTGTCCACTTGGTAGATAGATATTGATATAGATAGATATCATCATTATCTTCTCTCAACCTCCCTATGGTTGATCAGAACTCCATTGACAATCACTTTCCACACTGTTAGATCCTCCATTGCTGTTCCCAGATCCCCAACCCCGTGTCATGAGCTATGGTGTCTGGAAAAATCAATTTTCGTAAGACAAGCCGTAGGAGTAAGGATGAGACGATGTTCTTGTTCGCTCGATGGCAGTGGCCGGCAAACTGTAGTCGTTTATGTTTGAGCTTCAGAGAGATTGGTCTCCGTTCTCCGTAAATTGAGTTAAGCATTGCATGGGATCTCCAAATGATGCCCTGGATTTTTCTAAATAGATTTGTATATGTCCCATCCAGTCGTCTTTCAAGACGAACAGATAAGTCCAAGGTTCTCATCCACACAGTAAGACTGGTTCAATCAAGGTTCAAAAAAGTCTGGACTTTTAAGCAGGATCGAAGGTCCGAGCACCAAATTTTGTCTCGTTTGTTATATGCATCCCGAGCAAGTGCTTTGCGGATGTTGATGTCTTTTTGGGAATCTATGATGTGAGCTCCAAGATAGTTGAATTCCACAACTCATTTCATGGGTGTATTATTGAGTTATTTCAACTCTGATGGTTCAGAGGAGTTTACGATGTATATACCATCATCACCATCATCACAACCACCACCACCACCATGATCATCATCATCATCATCACCACCACCATCATCATCATCATCATCATCGCAATTATCATCATCATCACCATCATCATCATCACAACCACCACCACCACCACCATCATCATCTTCACCACCACCACCATCATCACCACCAACATCATCATCATCATCATCGCCATTATCATCATCACCATCATCATCACTACCACCACCACCACCATCAGCATCATCATCACCACCACCACCATCATCATCATCGCAATTATCATCATCACCATCACCATCATCATCATCATCACCATCACCATCATCATCACCATTACCACCACCACCACCATCATCTTCACCACCACCGCCACCACCACCATCATCATCATCATCGCCATTATCATCATCACCACGATCATCATCACTACCACCACCATCATCATCATCATCATCAACATCATCCTACGACCTCTCTGCTGTTAGTCGTAACTCCATTGACAATTCCTTTCCAAGCTACTCGGTCGGTCCTGCATTGCCGTCCCCTGATCCCCAATGTCCAACCCCGAGTCTTGAGCCATGGTGTCTGGGGAAAGTCAACTTTAGCGAGAAAACACCTCCAGAAGCATGCCATAGGAGTAAGGATGAGACGATCTCCCCGTCCACTTGATGGCAGTAACCGGAAAACTGCAATTGCTGTTATTTGTCTTCAGAGAGATTGGTCTCCGTCCTCCGTAAATTGAGTTAAGACTTGCATGGGATCTCCAACTGATGCCCTGGATTTTTCTAAATATATTTTTATATGTTCCATCCAGTCGTCTTTCAAGACGAACGGATAATGTTCAAATTTATGATTATTTCTGGCACTATAAAACAGGTAGACAGTGAAGATTATGAGGATAAGGAGGATAGATAATTGACCCATGACTTGAAGGGCTTATGCTTGTAGTGTAGAGGGTTAGTTAAAATGGTTATGATGAATGTGGTATGTGATATGAATGAGAGACGGGGAGGTGAAAAGTAAAGATGATGAGGATAAGGAGGATATATAAAGACTGATCCTCGATTTAAAAAAAATATTGAATTTTGTAGTATAGAGACTTAATGTTAAGATGGTTAAGACGAATGAGTGGTGTGATATATAGACTATAATTGCACTAAGACTCATGGGGTTACCCCCGTAAAAAGCAACGCGGAAGTTTTAATAGAAGGAACCGTAAACCCAATCCGAAAGAGGGAACAATGGTTAGACCGCTACTCCTGTTCAAAGACCGAGGAAAAGTGTGGTTAACGTAAAAGTTAAAACTTAAAAATGTATCTCAACTTCAACTTGCTAGCCTTAGACGCGCGTATTATAACAAAATGACGATATGGTTTGTATTTTTAAAGGCATATCAAATCCTTTATGGGTCATTTAATGATAAAATTTGACTTTATTGGGAGCTTTGAACTATTAAAAATATGATATACGTTATGCTGCTTTCACAGTTGAATACATGGTAGATGAAACTCAGCTTTTCTGCATATACATGTTTGTGTAGACATAATTACTAAAGGCAGTGATATGTATGTTTTATGTTGTAGTTTTGTTGAAGTTATATTTTGGAAGGCAGTTTGATTTCTTTAAGAAATTGTAGGATATTTTACGAATGAATGCCTTGAAATATTTCTTTCGTGTTGTTTGTTTGGTTGATTTTGTTTGACGACATATCAATCTCTATGGCTTATTTGATGAGTAAATCGAAATATTTTACGCACAATTATATGGCTTTAACTAAATATATGTTTGTGACATTAAGTGATTGGTAAAAAAAGGAAAATAAAGGACACAGGCAGAGAGTTGCCATACGGATTGATGTCCGCTTGCTTAAAACTGCAAGTGACGAGACCTTGTCTCATGATGACTTGGAAGAAAGAAAAGCTCAATTGAGTGTAATATTTGATAATTTTGAGGACAAAAGCAGAATCAATAGACTGGCACACTATTTACATTATTCGGACTAATTTGCTCATCTTTGTCGCTATATTTATCACATCGTTTCGGCCGTTGTACGCTCCGGCTTTCTTCAGGTGGTTGGAATGTCATACTGAACCCTTTATTTCTCTCACTGGGATAGAATGTTCTCTTTCACGTGACATGTCTAATGAATGTCAATTATCAGTTAATTCCCCTCTGAAAGTTCTCCACCGCCTTAGCCGGGTATTGAACTCACACTCTTTGGGTCCTGTCACTGGTTCTAACCAACGCCTTTATCCACTATGCCATGTGTCTTTGAGGACATTCCAACCACCCTAAGAAGCGCTATGCCTTGACTACTTACAAACGCACACACACAGATAAAAAACACACACACAGACACAGAGATCCAAATGATAGAAATGACAGATGGAGTAAAAATTACTTTTAAAAATGGGCTCAATACAAAGTAGAGCAATATATTATCGTTATATTTTTATTATAAGAGATTATAATAGGAAGATAAATTCTTAAATATATATTATATATATATATATATATATATATATATATATATATATATATCCAAGTATCTTTATTCTACATTTAACACAATCACTTGAAAAAACACCAGAAGTGTTGAAACAAAATGCCTATTCTTGTAGTGATGTTATAACATGTTTATGTTATACTATTGTAATAAATAAAAATTATATATATATATATATATATATATATATATATATATATATATATATAATATAAAAGTAAGATATATAATCCGGTGTTTTTATAGATATTTTATTTTTTACAAAATAGTGCTCAATGTAAAATTTACATTTTCAGCTTCCATTTTTGAAACATGGTTAGAACTGTGTAAATAATAAAACCATATTTTAAATCCAATAATTTATAATATATGTATATATATATATATATATATATATATATATATATATATATATATATATATATATAGTTGTAGGGTAGATAAAAGAAACGGTCAGATATAAGCTTGCGTTTACGCGTGCGCTGGTGGTCATACACTGGCAAGCAAATAAATTATCGTCCCATTTAGGCACGCGGTGTAAACGTGATAGTGATCGATGCGGTTATACAGAAAAAAAAATATATGTTAATTAGTATATATACGTGTACGTACGCTTTGGTGTGCAACTATAGTTTCGCTGAGTGGCATATATATATATATATATATATATATATATATATATATATATATATATATAACGAAAGAACAGTAAGATATATAATCCTGTGTTCTTATAGATATTTTTATTTTTACAAAATAGTGCTCAATGTAAATTTACAGAGTATTGAGGATGAAATGGAACTAATGTATTTAATTTAATTAGAAAATTAAATTCGGAGTTTTCAGCTTCCATTTTTGAAACATGGTTAGATATGTGTAGCGAAAAAAAACATATTTTAAATCAATTAATTTATAATATATATAGACATATATATATGACCTGTCAATATTTCAAGGATCTCATGGCAGTTTAGAATCATTGGGTTCTTCTATGTTCAGTTTCTTTTAAGCTGTGACTCTTACTCTCAAACATTTTAGCTCGAGTGACCCTCGGGCCTTGTACAGGGTGAACATCAATTTTTCAAAAAATGAAGCTGCTTCGACGCGAGTGGGAAAATATGTCTATCCGAATAAGAATCGATTAAATTTTCGGCCACTTGAGAATCACAAAAGAGACTGAACGATTTCAAGGTGGATTATTTAAAAAGAAAACATCGAAGTCGCGTACTCCCGCCCCCTTAAGAACAGAACCCCGTCCACTAATGGCCTTTGAGAAAATAACAAAAATCGTTGAAGACAAATGAATTAAGGGGAGAGAAAAAAAATGAAAACCGCTTTTCTTTAATCAGTAACATTGAATTATTCATGGTGAAAAGTTTAATAGCAAACAAGATTCCCGAAGTTCTATTAAATACAGAAGAAAAATATCGTTCATTTAAAATTTAAAAAGCAACATCGGCTTTTATGTGAAAATATCGATGTCAAAATCGATGTGGACTGATTTAAATTAACTCGGCAGAAAACAGACCAACATTTCATCCAGAAACCATTACGCAAAATCTTCGATGGAAACAACTTAGATCCGTTCAAATTTTATTTATTTGTTCATATATTTATTGCAATAATTGACATACGAAATTTGGATGTGCAGATGGTGTGAGGTTTAGAGGCTCAGAACAAGAAATCGGAAAGACGTGTTCGAATTCCGGCTAGGGCTCGTAGCATTCGCTTTCGCTCAAATATCCATGGGAAATGTCTGAATCCATCTCTTTTCCCTCTACCAATGTGTTAAATAGCAGTGCATGCTGGTCTCTTTAGCCACGGTCGGCAATCAATATAGAAGAAGGACAACTCTGAACTCGAAACGGAATGGTTTTTTTTTTGTTTTTTTTGTTTTTTTTTAATTAAAATGATTTATATTAATTTGTTTATTATTATTATTATCATCATCATCAATTTCTGCTATGGACAAAAAAAGACCTACGCTGTTTGTTATTTTCATTATTTTTTTTTTTTTTTTTTATTATTATTTCTCCTTATTATTATTTTTTCATTTCTTTCAATGGAAAATAACAAACTGAAAATAACAAACTGACAAACAGACATTAACGGATTTAATATATTAAAAAAAAACAGTTTCGTCTTTAATTCTGGCTTGAAGACGCCTACCTAAGATATGAAAGCGAAACGCAACGTCATTAAAAAGCTTTTTCACATTGTCTCATTTTTTCCCATTTTTATCTACAGGGCGTCCTGGAATTACGACAGAGTTTCGTTCCTACGCTGCGTCGTAACGCGATTTTTCGTATAAGTCGGAATGTATACGCAATTTTTCGTCAATAAGCACATACGTAACTCACCTATGTTAATGCAATAGTAAAGTAATAATCTAGACATAACTGTTAAATCATTGAGTTTTGATCAAATATGGTTTATCAATAGCATTTTTTTTCAATTACTGTGCTTCAAATAAGAGAGCATAAGTAAATAGATATTTTTACTTGAAATGCATAGAGTGTCATTGATGATAAGGCACAGAGAAATTGCATGTCATTGACGACAAACCATGTAGAAATTGCATGTCATTGGCGATAAACCATGTAGAAATTGCATGTCATTGACGACAAACCATGTAGAAATTGCATGTCATTGGCAATAAACCATGTAGAAATTACATTGTCAACCATTGATTACATGTCAATGACTAACCATGTAGAAATTGTATGTAATTGGCAATAAACCATGTATAAATTGCATGTCATTGGCGACAAACCATGTAGAATATGAATTTTTGCCATTGGCGACAAACCATGTATGTCATTGGCGACAAACCATGTAGAAATTGCATGTCATTGGCGATAAACCATGTATAAATTGCATGTCATTGGCGATAAACCATGTAGAAATTGCATGTCATTGATGACTAACCATGTAGAAATTGTATGTAATTGGCAATAAACCATGTAGAAATTGCATGTCATTGGCGATAAACCATGTAGAAATTTCATGTCATTGGCGACAAACCATGTAGAAATTGCATGTCATTGGCGATAAACCATGTAGACATTGCATGTCATTGGCGATAAACCATGTAGAAATTGCATGTCATTGACAACGAGCCACATAGAAATTGCATATCATTGGTAACAAAACACGTAGAAATTGCATGTCATTGGTGGAAAACCATGTAGAAATTGCATGTCATTGACAACGAGCCACATAGAAATTGCATGTCATTGATGATGAATCAGGTGAAAATCAAGAACAGTATTTCCTAGTTGATTACTTTTGTCAAACTGCATTTTAACGTCAATCAGTAGAGAAAATTTGAGAAAAGATTATTCACACTGCCAAGCCTTTGATATCGAAGACTAAAGAATTACTCAACAGCTGATGGTGGTATTGGCGATATAGTCAGATTCAGTAGAGTGTCTGAATCGTGAGTGTTAATCTTTAATGTTGTTTCATTGAACAGATTACGTACTGCGCTGTATTCTATATTCATAGACTATGGTGAACATAGTCAACAATAACAACACATTTCTATGACATATCTTAAAATAATTAGGACTACAAAACATATAGGGACATAAATATAATGAAATGAAATGAAAATAATACCTATCATGTAATAAAATTGATTTAAGCTGCATGTATTTTTATTGCCGGTGAGGACATTCGCTCACACTATTTATATTTTCTGTATCTAGTTATATTCTTTGATTTTTTAGAACTCATTCAATTTTTCTTATCAAATCTCATAATAAAATAGGTTTAGAACGTCCACTCTTCTCGATCTTTTTTCATTAATGTGTGTTTTCCTCCAGGTTTCTATTCGTTCCTTATTTTCAAATCAACGACCTTCCCGACGGTATCAGTTTTCGCTGGGGCAACTATTTACTCCTGCCTTAAATCGGATACGTTCGATAAAATCAAATTGGCAGGTGATAGGGAAAAATGACCTGCAATCATTTGTTAACTGGGGCAAGAAACGGCTTGTTTATTTTACGCCCTCCAAAACAAAACTGCTGTTATTTAAACATTTTTTTTTTTTGCATTTCATTAACATGGTTGATTTTGATCTTCAGAAGTGTAACACATTGCTCATGCTTAATCTCACGTTTTTCCACTGACTAGAACGATTAATTAATTGAAAATGTTGGTATCTATTGAAAAGCGTTAAAAGATTATAACAGGAGATTCTGCAAGCAGATCGTGATAAAAAAAAAACTATTTCTACAGAAAATCAAAGATTAGATCAATCATATGGAATAAACTTATTTATCGAAAAATTACACTGGTCAACACGATTTTTAGTGCCAAGAACAAAAAAAAAACGGTTTTTTAGCTAGTTTAATGGTGCCGATTCCGAAAATGTAACAAACCTGATAA